GGGGGGGGGGGGAGAATTAGTCCAAAAGGCCAAAACTGCACCTTTGAGGTGAACTGCACCTTTGAGGTGAACCTTCCCAGTGGAACCTGGAGAGTAAGGATAAGACTAATCAACTGCATATTTTGAATTGCTGGTAAATTTAGTCAACAAGGAATCTGTAATCAAGGAAAGGAGCAAGTCTTTGCATACTGAACGGTTTTGTGATCTAAACAGCCATGGGAAGCTCCTAGGCCCAAAGGACTCAAACTGGCTAATGAGCTGTACTTCTACTCTGCAGGCTGAGGATCCTATCTGATCCCTGTCCATAATATGGCTAAGACCCTATAAAAACCACACTGTAGCCTGGCCGGTGTTGCTCAGTGGTTGAGCACTGACCCAGGAATCAAGAGGTCACTGGTTCGATTTCCAGTCAGGGCACATGCCCAGGTTGTGGTCTCCCATCTCCAGTAGGGGGCGTGCAGGAGGCAGCGGATCAATGCTGTTTCTCTCTATTGGTGTTTCTCTCTCTCTATCCCTTTCCCTTCCCCTCTCTCTAAAAATCAACAAAAATGCATTTTTTTAAAAAACTATACTAGCCCTGCTGGGAGTGGCTCAGCGGTTGAGCGTCAACCTAGGATCCAGGCGATCAGGGTTCAATTCCTGGTCACGGCACATGCCCGGGTTGTGGGCTCGATCAATGACTCTCTTGTCATTGATGTTTCTATCTCTCTCTCTCTCCCTCTCCTTTCCTCTCTCTGAAATCAATAAAGATATATTTTTTAGAAATAATAAATAAATAAAAATTAAAACTATACTGTACCATGCTCATCCAGGTAACAGAAAATTGTGAGTGTAAGGCTAAAGCAGACAAGCATGTAACATTATGTGTGGAAAATAAACCAGGCTCAAAAATACCTGTTGTTCATCCAGCTGTTCTAGGGGAAAAGAAAACCCCAAATTAACTTACCTTTGGGTCACCAAGAGAGTACCTAGGATTTCCTGGCTCTTCAGTGAAGGGAGCAGTGATAGTGGGAGTAGAGGCTTACTGTGGCACAGTGGTTTTCAAGATAAAAATCTTACAAAGAAACCCAACATATAAAAATGGTAACATTGAGAATGCTATTTGAAGAGAAAGTGAGGTGTGTGAAGGCTTTCCCACTGTCTCATCACATCAGGCCCTAGGCATACTTAGAACTACAAGATGATACATGGAATAAGCAGTGGACTTCAAACCAGAAAATATGGGTTTAAGTCTCAGTTTTTTCTATTTATACCTGTGCACTCTTCAGCAAATCACACTCTCTCAGCTTTAGTTTCCTCATCCGTAAAACAGGGGCAACTGTATCTACCTCACCAAGTTGTCATAGGATTAAATGAGCTAAAAATGTAAGTTATTACAATGAGATTCTTTCGTATTTTGCTCAACCATATCAGATGACTTTTAAGAGTGTGAATATCTAAAAATCCTAAACTGTATGCTTAAAGGAAATTTTAAATATAATTCCAGTCAGTAATCTGATAGTCCCTATTCTTCAAGTACTAAAAATTACTCCAACCGTCGAGAAAACCAGAGTGCCTTATTCAGAGTAAAATTTCACTCATTCAGATTACCAAGATAGACACACTATCACATAGGGACATTCATAATGGATATCACATTTTGCAAAAGATTCCAGAAGTAGTCATCAATTTTTCCCCCCTTTGCAGAACTCTTCACACGAAATATTATGTGGAAATGGAACAGGTAAAACTGATTTAAAATGTGAAACTACTCTTGTTGGAGTCTAAGTGGGAGTCTTGAAGCCTCCCCCCCCCCC